CAAGAATCCCCGACAGAAGTCAGATCTGAGAACAATCTCCTCTACGCCACGTCATAGCTTGCTCACCTCGTTGTCTCTTTCAGTCCACATCAGTGTTTACTAAAAGCATGTTATGGCACACGTCGTTCAGGCAATGGTAGGACGTGCTCCAACCACCTCAAACGATGCAGTAAAATGGTCTTGCTCAACGGAAAACTATCTGATCCTAACACACATCGTTTTGGTTACTCACGCGATGCTCACACCATACACGGGCAATGTTGAGCGGATAACGATTGTCGAAGACTGCTAGTAGCTTGACATAATCTGTTAGCAGAGGCCAAGTTTCCCAACAGTAGAGCAACAGGTTGAGTACCGTTGCGCAATACACATGTCCCTTCACTGAAAGGGATATATCGCGCCGGCGCCAGAGATGCCGCAGATCAGCAAACCGCAATCTAGCTTTGATTTTGCGTTGAGGGACCTCCTCGCCCATACCTCCACTATCAGTCATGCAACTCACCAAGTAGACAAAGCTTTAGAGTATTTCCATTCTATCATTACCCAACAAAAGCGCAGGAACAGATTCCTGCCAATCTTTCTATAACATCTTGCACTTTGAAAGTACAAGGGATGTACTATAACGAGCAACCTTTATTTACAAACGATTCCGTGTACTTCAAGTCGCCGGGCGTTATTACTGAATAAGGCAGTATCATCGGTATACTCTAAGTCTACAACAACTCTGTCTCCAGGACGAAGCTCGACTCCGGTGCCTTTTGTAGAACACCTGTGGTAAGGTTGAAGAAAAACGGACAACCCTATCGTACCCTACTAGTGACAGGAAACGAGGGTAGAAGTTTACCATACACCATAACCTCCCCCGAGGTATGACGGTAAAAAGCTTTTAGAATCAGGATATTCTTCTCGGGTACTCCGTATCTCCGCAAACAGTTCCACAGTGCGGGGCGATCGGTGGCATCGAAGGTCGCTCTGATGTCCAAAAACAGGACAACAGTTTGTCGTCTGTATGCGTGGCGGTGTTCTAGCAGCTGACGAGGGGTGAGCATTTGATCTCTGCAACTGTGGCATGCACAGAATCCAGTTAGCTCTTTGTGGATTTGTCTTTCATGAAATGGGCTTAGTCTGCATAATAAAACGGACTCTAACAGTTACGGTGCTATGGGAATCAGACTTGTGCTCCTGTAGTTCGAACATGCATTGTGACTGCTCTCCTTATAAACGAGGGAAACAATCGATTCTACCCATGTACGGTTTTTAGTTTCTGTTTCCCAGATCTTTGAGAACAGTCGGCGCGATATCTAACGAGAGCGTCTCTCCCATCTTTAATTAAGGCCGTTGTCAGGTTGTCTGATTTAGACGCCTTGTGGCGTTTCAGAGTTTGGAGTTTATTTCGGATCTCCGCTATCGTGGACTATCAAGAGAACTATTTGGGGTATCCAGCGCGGG